TTTATATTAAAAAATTATAATATTTTAAAATTATTTTATTTAATAAATGTACTTAATTCATTTATGGGCACCAAATGTTCTCATAACTTGCCTTCTCTATTTAATTTTTTTTTATGCTTTTTAAAATTTTTAAATAAGATATTTTAACTTTGTCTTTTTTTTTTTCTTATTTTCCATTTTACACAAAATTGGACCAATAAATTATTTACAATTTTTATTTTTATATTTAAATTGTTATATTTTTTTATATGAAAATTTTAATAATTAGTATATTTTCTAAATTATTTTATTTATATTATTAAATTACTTAAATTATTTTTAATTCATTTATGGGCACCAAATGTCCTCACAAACTGCATTATGGAAACTTTCAATGGAAAATGCTTTATAAACATGTAAAATAATGTACTAATTAAAATATGTAAATTGTGGGTTAGAGGACAGAAAATGTCATTTTCTCAGTGTAAAAACAAGAATATGTTTACAAATGTGTGTTTGCAGACAAAATTGTCTTCAGAAATGACATTTTGAGGGTGTTTTTAATTGTAAGAATGATCATAAATTGAGTAAATAATGTTTTAAGTTCTCTTTTAGGGGTCAGAGAAGGGTTTGAGTGTGTTTTTTATGTAAAATAATAGATGTTTGTGGTTTGGATGTCTGGATGAATGTGTGTTCGTTTCCCTGGAGGTTTCTGGAGTAGTTCGGGGCGTTAGAAGGCCGTTCACAGTGAAGGATTGTGGGAGAGAGGTGTTGACACTAATGCATGATGAATAAGGTCGGGGTGTGTGTGTAAATAATTCATGGCGATTGATCGCTGCTCTGGCAGATTTTGGTGCTGGTCTCTTCACGTGAGCGGCTCTGCCGGGGTTTTCTGAGCTGCTGCGTGAAGGAGGTGACGTCCTTCAGATTCACACACATACGGCACATGCTCTTCATGAAGTCTGTAGGTGCAGCGTCATGAACTGTACTTACGTCTTATGTACTGTATTCATGTTTCGTTTACATGCATTAAGCTGAATTTAACTTTTGGTGCAAACCAGAGTTATTATGGTTCACTGAAACGAAAGCTATTAAAAGCCTTGTTGTTAAAAAATTAAATTAAAATAAAGGCAAAATAATATAAAATATAAAAATTGGATGAAAAACGTAACTAAATTTGAAATAAACATGTAATAATACAATAAAAAACACAAATGTAAATATATATATGCATGTGTAAAAAAACAGTTTGGGACCATTTTTCTATGTAAAATAATAGATGTTTGTGGTTTGCAATATTTAATAATATATATATATATATATATATATATATATAAACTAATTAAAATAATAAAAACCCTAATTAAATTGATAAAATTAAATTAAAAAAAATTTATTAAAAAATTAAAACATTAAACCTTAAAAAACAAACACTAATAAAATGACAAAAGCACGTAACAAGATTAAAAAATTAAATTAAAATGTCAATATAAAAATAAAACTAATTCAAAATATTAATAACAACTTTAATAGTAAGTATGTGTGTGTGTGTGTATATATACTGTATATATATATGTATGTGTTTGAAATAGCACGCTGTCATTAAATAAGCGTCTTCTCTGTCATTCCTCAGATAAGAACATCGATGATGAGGATTCGGTGGATGGAGGTCGTTCCTCGTCGTCCTCTAAAGGAGCGTCATCGGTGCAGCGGACGGGATCCATGCGCAGGCCGAGCTCTGCATCCAGCACCAAGAGCTCAGGTGAACATCTGCACCTTTACCCTGTTCAGCACTGAACTGTTGAGCAATTCCAGCTGCAGTGCTGAACCGATTCCCCATTGAGAGTCTCTGCATTATCCTGTCCTCTGCATTTGTCTTACGTGGACGACCAGCCTTTTTGGGGGACTTGAATGAATTAGTGTCATTGTAAAGCTGCAATATTCTAGAAATCACAGATTTGGAACGACCAGTGACTGAAAAGGTCGTCCCTTTGGCCTTCATCTGGACCGCCTCCTGTCACAGGGTTTCAGTCACCTTAGAGCGGTCCGCCATCATGCAATCTCAGTCAAAATTAGAGGAATGCTGCCAGTTAAATAGGGTTTGTCATATAATTAAGGAAATTAAGACCAAGTGCCAGATTAACACCAATAACTTAGAGGAATCTGTAAGTGTTCACTAATTTTGATCAGAGTTCTTTTTCAAATATCTCATTTAAAGGCACAATATGTAATTTTTCGCCGCTGGAGGGCGCGTATTCAAAATAAACAGAATCAAAGGCGTAGTTTGATGACGGCGTTAATGAGTGTGGAATCATGGGAGTTGTAGTCAAAAAAAACTATATACAAATTAAATTAATATTAAAAAATATCATTTTATATATAAATCAAATTATATATATTTTATATGGTTTATTTGTATATAATAAAATATATTAAATATAAAATATATACAAATATTTAAAAAATATTAAAACCCGCTGGACTTGTTGATTGTCGTCTCATCAGGTAAGGAGAGCTCTGGTGCCGGTGCTGTCGATGAAGAAGACTTCATCCGTGCCTTTAAAGATGTGCCCGCTGTACAGGTGAGCATTTGTAGCATGAACAACAGCAAAGCACTTTGTAACATTTATAATGTTACAAAATATTTCTGTTTCAAATAAATGCTGTTCTTTTGAACCTTCTATTCATCAAGGAATCAAAAAAAAAGATCACAATGTAACAAAATGTATGCTACTTTCCACAACATTGAGTGAATCTTGAGCAGCAAATCAGGTGATTTCTGAAGATCATGTGACGCTGAAGACTGGAGTAATGATGCTGAAAATACAGCTTTGATCACAGGAATAAATTAAATTTGAACAGATATTCACATAGAAAACAGCTATTTTAAATTGTATTACTATTTCACAATTTTTACTCTATTTCTGATCAAATAAATGCAGCCTTGGTGAGCAGAAGAGACTTCATTAAAAACATAAAAAAAAAATCTTACTGACCACAAACTGCATCTAAATATATCTGTGTGTCAGTAACTCAAAGAATCATCAACACTGCACCAATAATGACATGTCTGTCTGTAATGTGGAGTGTCAGTTTGGACTCAGGATTCAGTGGTTTTCCATTAGAAATCTCTGGACAGATGCCAGTTTTCAGTGAGTTTGATGACGCTGTTGATTCTCACAGATTTACTCGGCTCGAGAGCTTGAGGACTCCATGAACAAGATCCGAGAAATTCTCTCTAATGACAAACACGATTGGGAACAGCGAGTGGCTGCAGTGAGTGATTTCACATTTATAAAAGAATAAAATGGCTGCTTGTTACCCCTCTCTCTGGAATACTTAATTGTGATTGGTTGATGGTTGATCATCCTTATGTTGGTGTATAATGACTCTAAACTGTAACAAAATAAATAAGGTAATTGCGACTTTTTATCTCACAATTCTGACTTTTTTGTTTATATCTCGCAATTCTGAGTTTATATCTCACAATTCTGATTTTATATTTCAATTCTGATTTTATATTTCAATTCTGA